CTCCCCCTCTCTCTTTACATTCTCAAAGCTTCTCTCTCTACCCGATCGGGGTCGATGACCATCGATCGTGACGACCACTGTGATCCTTACTTGCGACAAGCTCCGACCGCCGTCGCCAGTACCAAAAAATTTCAAAAAATGACCACGAACTTCTTTTGACCCCCTGAACACAGATATAGTTGCCTTTTCACTAAAAAGTAACCCAAACGACCTAGATCTGCTTTTAAAGTTTCGATTAAAACCTCTTTTTTTTCTTTTGATTCTCTTTTTTTTTTTTAAATTGACTTTGTTTTTTCTTTGTGCAAAAACTCTCGACACTGGGTTCCTTATTCTAAGGAACTGAGTTATTTTTTTTGTGTTTTTCTAGCAAAAAGCATTTTTTTTTTTTACAAGATATCATCCTCTTCTTTTTTTTGTTACCTTCTTTTGTGTTTGGCCAGGAGCTCTATTTATAGAGCTTTCGACAGTGTCCTGTGCTTAAAAGAGTAGCACAAGGCTCGGCATGAAGGTGCAAGTATAAACTCCATGTCTCTTTTATTGTTTTTGTTTGATCTAATAGTGATAGGAGCTTAGGCAAGGGTAGTGAACAGGGTATGTGTGGTAGGGTATGGTGGCCAGTGGTATGGGTGTATGGTAAGGTGGATAGCGGTATCGTGTCAGGCACCACTGCCACTAGCTTTTTTTTGTTTTTATATTTTGTATTTTTGTATTTATTTTTTTATTATTGTATTTAATAATATTGTTATCATCTTATTTATTATTAAATAAAATAATAAATTTGATCAAGGTCAGACAAATTTGATATCTACAATTACAATAAAATAAAATTTTATAACTTTTAATTTTATGTAATAAAAAATTAAATACATATTTTCATTTTTAAGTAAAGTTCAAGAATTTATTTTAATGATAACCCATAATATAAACCGAAGAAAACTCTTTTAAAACATTCAATAAAAATTAAAATGTTCCATCCAGAGAAATCAAGACATTATCACTGCCCATACTCACCAATCATCGCTCTTGAATGCTACTCGATGATCATCAGATCGGTATCGAAAAAATGAACATTTCTGCTTCCATTTAAGTTATTGTTTTTTTAAAACAAATTATATCTTGATCTAAATTCTCAAGACCTTGAAAACAAAGTTCTGTGAAAATTCAAATCCATGATATATATATATATATATAATATATGCCAAGTTTCATAAATTCATGCATATTCTCCGCTTAAAACCCTCCCTCCCCTCTTTCTTCTTTTACACCAAAAAAGGACAAAATTCTCTCAAATAACTGTATTGACCGACTGAAACGAGCCAAAATGTCCCTCGTGCGTAAACTAATAAAGAAGCCCCAACGATGCGCAAGTTATAAAGTTACGCCGCGCCCGGTTTCGTCAAAAAAGCTGCTGATTGATTAACAAAAAAAAAAAAAAAAAAAAAGGCAAGCGAAGGGTCGTTTCTTTCTTTTTATTTTTTATTTTTTTTTCTTTTCGGTTAAAAAAGAAAGAAAGAAAAGGGCCTTGGAAAGAAAAATAAAAATAGCAGCGAATGTAGCAGAGAGATTTGAAGTCGACTTTGTTGAAAGCTGCTTTTTCGGAGAGTCCGTTAAGCTTTGATCGATTCTCTTTTTCTTCTTCTTCTTCCTTTTTTTTTTTTTTTAACCTTGTTGTTCAATTCTTTGTTGAATCTCGCACTCAAATCAAAGTAATTTTCGTCGCTATTTAAAAAAAAAAAAGAAAATTGATCTTCAACGGGTTTAACTATCCATGTTGTCGGATATAAGCTAGACCTTTTCTGCAAAATCTTCCTCGCTCTCTGTGGTTTTTCACTTTCTCTTCAACGACTCGAAAAGATTTTCATTCTTTGTAACCCAAAAAAAAAGATGGCTAAATGCAGCAACTTTAACGGAGTTTATTGCGACGAGATTTCATGATTGATCTCGCGAGTTTGTTTTTGTAATTGGCTTTCTGCGACGAAAACTTTTAAAGATCGTTTTTTTTTTCCTTCTTTTTCTCGCCCGTAGAGGGAATGGGAACAGATAGTTGTTACTGCAACGGTGGGACCCGCGGTTAAACCCGAGCGGGTTGAGGAGAAAAAACAGGCTGGAAGAGGCTCTTACAAAAAGTAAGCTTTATTGCAAAACAAATAGGATTGGGGGAGATTTTGATTGATATTTTGTTGTTTTTAGTGGATGGGGGACCTTTTGAACAAAATAAGAAAAGTTGGTTTCTATTGAGGGAGAGATAGAGATGAGCAGTACAAACTAGCAGTTGAGTTGCACCAGATTACTGAGAAGTCTCTGTCTTTTCAATACTGAATGGAAGTACGCCGTTTTTTGAGATTAAGGCATCGCAGCTCGAATGTCAGTAAGCTTCCTCTTTCTAAATTTTTTTTCCATTTTAAGTTGATCACCATATTTCTTTAATTGATTAATTTGCAGCATGCTTGTTTTTAGCGTAGATTACAAAAAGGCTTATGAACATATTGTCATGTTCCTTGAGGTCAGCAAATTCGGAGTCTGTATGCATTTTCATCTAATTATTTGGAGTTTACTATCTAAGATGAATTAAGGTTTTGGTTAATTTTTGAATTCGCCGTATAGTTGACATGTTATTGAGGTTAGGTTGGAATGGCTTTGACCCCTGGAATTGGCATAAGATATAATTCACATCTGTTGTGTTCTTCCTAATAGTAGTATTCAGTTGCAAGCCCCCAACTCTGCCATTGAGGGATCCTCTTTTTTTTACGTGGTTTTTTTTTTTTTTTTATCATAATGAGATTATCAAAAGGAGAAAATTAATAGTCACTTTGTTTTTATCATAAATCTCCAACCTCCAAAAAACTTCTCTCTGGCTTGCCGTTGTCCGGTGCCGTACTGCCGCGCCGGCCGAAGCATGAGATCGTCGCAGGTAGCTGCTGCCGACGCTCGCCGGTGACGAAAAATTTCAAAAAAACTCCTAAAAATTCTCCTCAACGTCTTATTTCCAAATATGATGTCCTTTTCACCGAAACAGCCCCGATCGGTGTAGATCGGAGCTTAAAGTTTCGGTCTTTTTTTTTTTAAAAAAAAAACGAAACTGACGATGATATGCTCTTGCAAGTAGTTCGGCGCTGGGTTCTTTCCTACGAGAATGACTGTGTTTGATTTTTGTGTGTTTTTTCTGTGTGGATTTTTTTGTTTTTTTGTTTTCTGATGGGTATTATGGGGAGCTAATGGTCGGGGGCTCGTTGGGTGCTGGTGTGGTGGTTTCAGGCGCAGGGAGTGGATGTGTGGCACTGGGTTTCGGTTTCTGGTAAGATGCGGGTTGGTGCTGAGTGTTGGGTTCTGTCGGGTGGAATTAATGTGTCCCTGGGCGTCTGAAGATGTGTTCGGGAGCTTGAAAAGGTGAGGGAGTTGGGTTTTTATAAGGCTGGACGCCTGAGTCTGTGTCTGAGGGTAGGGTGTTTGTAGGGTGGCTACATGGTAGTGGCAGGGCGGCTGGAGAGGCAGTTACAGGGATGGCTAGTCCGGTGGCTGTAGGGTGGTGGTAGGACGGCTGGAGAGGCTGATGTTGTGTACGACAGCAGGCCTATCCCGGTTACATTTTTTTTAAAAAATAATTATTTTTATTATTTAATCAATATTATCATTATTATTATTATTATTATTTACTATAATAATTTTAATATCAATGAACGAAAACTAAAAACGTCATTTTTTTCGATAGATCCGGACTCTAGAATTATAAATACATTATATATTATTTTTTAATAATAATTACATAAATTAATTAAATTAAACTATAAATTTTTTGTTTTATATTTAGTTTTTGCATGGACCTTCTTTGTATAAAAGGATTGCAAGTGCTGCATATAGCAATTGCGAGAACATTTGCATTTTTAGCATGGAAGACAAAATTGCACTATATTCATGCCTTTTTCTTATTTCCATCCTTATTATCAAGCTCTTGCTTGGAACAAGAACCAAACACAAGAACCTACCCCCAAGTCCCTTTCTCGAAGCCAAGATAGCGAATAGCATTCCTCACGCTCCGAACATTTCCAGCTCCATAATCAAGCAACGTCACAACTGAACCTCAAAAAAACACCAAAAGAAATTGAAAAACAGAATAAAAAATATATATATATATAGTTTTTGAGAACCAGAAGTAGAAACATATTTATGAGAGAAAGTACCAGAATTTGAAGCAGATGAAGCAGAGATAACAAGATTTCTATGAGATATTGATTTTAAAGCCTTTTTGTGAGGCTTTTGGCGGAGTATTATGATAGGCGATGGTGACAGAGCCGAAAAAGACGACGATTTCGTTTTTGCGAAGCTCGTAAAGGAAGCGTATCGCACTCCCTCCTTTGTAGTACCAAAGCAACTGTTTATGAATCGTTGAAGCCTTGGAGGTGAAGTGAAAAAGTCTAATTATTGATCATGTCTATGCATCAATGAATTTCCAAATGAATAATTGTTGACATTAGATATTATTTTATCAATACTAGTGTCACATCTAAGACATTGTTGCAGGTTTTTCTTAATTATTTTAACATTGAAATATATATAAAAAAATAGTTAAAGTATAACAATAAATCATAATTTCTAAATTGATAACATAAGAAATTATGTTCATTATAATAATATAAGGAAAAGTTTGATATAGTAGAGTTATATCTTATTTCTTCTTTCGTTTTTTTTTAGAAATTCTTGGTGAACTGATTTGGAGCTAATATAATTTATGTTGTTGAGTCAAATAAGTTATCATCAATATGATTTGATTTATGTAAATTTATCATCAATAACTTATTATCGTTTTTGGCTTCACCAAAAACGATATCATTTTTGCGAACCGCCCTATCTTGTGGGCAGGCAAGTATGTTGGCTACAACAACACCAATTTAGGCTTAGCTCCATATGGTAACCATTGGCGCAACCTTCGTCGTATATACAGACATGAAATACTCTCTCCAAATTGCTTGAAATTGTCTTCGGCAATTCGGATGGACGAAGCGATGATTTTACTGAAAAAATTGTACAATGTTGTTTCTAGCCAGGATGATAGTTTCGTCAAGGTAAAGTTGAAACCAATGTTGTCAGAATTTACATTCAATATGATTATTAGAATGGTTGCAGGAAAACAATACAATATTGGAGAAGAAGTGACAGGAAAACTAGAAGGAAAAAGACTACAGAAGCTTGTAGAAGATCTTTTTCAGGCGGGGGTCTCAGGAAATATAGGAGATTTTTTCCCTTCATTGCAGTGGATTGATTTTCAAGGATTCAAGAAGAATACAGTGAGACTTTTCAAAGAAACAGATGCATTCTTGCAAGATTTGAATGATGAGCATAGAATGAATAAAGGTGATTTTGAGAGGGAAGACACTATGATCAGCCATTTTCTTTCTTTGCAAGAATCACAGCCTGAGTATTACACTGATGAAAACATCAAAGCCCAGATGATGGTAATTAGTCACAATCTGTTTTTTTTTTTTTTATATAATTTTTTTTCAAGTGAGTGGCACAATCTAGGGTAATATGCATCAATCATTCATGATTTTTGTATAATTAAAGTAACTCATTATGTTTAAATGCATCAATCATTCAAGATTTGTGTGGTTTTTGTATTATGCAACCATTAAAAATATTTTTAATGTGTTTGCTTTGATCATACCCAGGACATGCTAAATGCATCCATAGATACGATAGTCTCAACTATAGAATGGAGCATGTCAAATTTACTCAACAATCCAAACGCATTGGAAAAGACTATAGCTGAGGTAGACTGCCTTGTTGGCCAAGACAAATTGCTAGATGAAGTTCATGATCTACGCAAACTAAATTATTTACAAAACGTAATCTCTGAGACCCTTCGACTGCACACGATAGCACCACTCTTAATCCCCCATAGATCCTCGGATAATTGTACCCTAGGCGGGTATCACATTCCTAAGGACACTATGCTGTTCGTTAATGCATGGGCAATTCACAGGGATCCCAAGCTGTGGGATGAACCAACAAGTTTTAGGCCCGACAGGTTTGGAAATGGAGAAATTGATCATGAAACTAATTATAAGCTAATGCCATTTGGGATGGGAAGGAGGTCTTGCCCGGGAATGGATCTAGCTCGCCGTACTGTTGGCTTGGTTTTGGGGTTACTGATTCAGTGCTTTGAGTGGAAAAGAGTTGGTGAAAAGGAAATTGACATGACTGAAGGCAAAGGTGTAACTATGCCTAAAGCTGAACCTTTAGAGGCTTTGTGCAAAGCAGGCGACATGGCAAATAAGCTGCTGTCTTGACTGAAGTACTGGTGAACCAGTCCGAACTTATGAATAATAAAATTAATTCTATGTTTTATGCATTCTTTTTTTTATACTTCTAAAGTGATATGCTTCCATTTAATAAAATATATTGGGATTGAGCTCGATTTTGAACTTCATATGACAATTTTGATAATAATACTTTGCAGTGTTTTAGTATAAAAGAAATTATAGTTTGAAAATATGAGAAAATATTATAGGTATTGAGAATTAAATTTTAAATTTATTGAATATTATCTTTTTAAGAATGATTATATAATCCATCTTTTAGATTCAATTTTTCATTTTTTTTTCTAAAAAGTCGTATAAAAAAAAGATTGGCAATCGTATATAAGATTCAGACTACCAGACAAATGGATTTTGCTTTAATTTATTCATATTTCAACTTTAATTGATAACATGAAACCAATCTCTTCTGTAGATAAAACCAGAACGTGATTAACCTATTCATAGAAGTTTTCTGTCACTTTATGTTTCTTTTTATCTTTTGTTTTTGTCAATTAATTTTTTTTTTTTTTTCAGTTTCATTCCATGAAACCAAGATAATTGGTTCCCTAGTTTTGATATCATTAAATTATTTTTATTTTTAAGTTTATATTTAATTTTTTATTTAAACGTTAATATTAATTATTAACAATGTAAAAAAAATCAAAAATAAAAATATTAAGTGGCAATTGACTGTAAAAATCCTTAACTTACTATAAATTTCTGAATTCCTAGATTATGGTTATAATTAAAAAATATCTTTTTGTTTGAATGTAAAAATAAAACTTCACCGTTTTTTCTTTACAAAAACTTTACTGCATTTTAAGTCTGCAGAAACATCATACAGTAAGTAAATTACATGTTTTTTAATCAATTTCGTAAATTATTTTGAAAAATTCGAACTTAAGTCTTTGAATATGTGAATATGTAAATATATATATGCACCTATTATATTAAGACAAATACTCATGTACAACTTTCTCATTGAATCTTAAATTTGCATTTTTTTTCACCTATGCATGGATCCTAATTTTTAACCTTTTATGTGAGAATAGATATATAATTTCATCTTTTATTGTGTGTAACCTAAACAGTAAATTCAAAAAAAATCGATAGATAATATGATCAAATATGTTTATTGATCAAATTAAATCAGATCAAATAAATCTTTAAAATTTTTGTCCAAGACCTAATTTGATCCATGAAATAAACTTGATTATTATTCAAAAAAATTATATTAATATTTTATATATTTTTAAAATTAAATTAAAATAAAAATGATTTTTTATCCATTAAACTAGATTCCATCTTCAAAACTCATGTCCCATCGGACAGGTTTAGACATGAGCCACTTGGTTAAGAAACATACAATCAAAGACACAAAAAGTCAATTTAATTCACCGGCTTGCAAGAATCAACTCCATATATGTTGAAACATGAAAATTACTCACAAATGTATGGCAAATTGTCTTCATATTCTGACAACCTAGGAATGTTCTTCACTTTGTTGCAATTTGACTAGTGGATCAAATTCCTTGGTGGGTGTTGAATTTCTAAACAGAATTTATATTAATTGGAATGTCAGATCACTACTTTTGAATCAATTTGGAATTAATTACAGCCATGCATAGTTAATTATCTTCTTACATCAAAGTAATAATTACTAAAAATAATGAAACATTAGTGGAGAATATATAATCATAACTTAGTTGTTTAAACATTTTTGGTTAAAAACCCTATGCGTTCAAAAATTGTATCAAGTTTGCAATAAATAAGGAGAAAGTGGCATCAATGTCATCATATTTTGCTTGAATATCAAGGGAATCATTTCACTTTTTTTTTTGTCTGCAAAAAGAAATTAATGTTTTTTTAGCCAATAGTTTTTCTATGTTTTCTAGCTAAGATGATAATAACAAATTAATTAGAGACGTAGCTAATTTTCAAATGTAAAAAAATCAAATTAAATTTATTTAAGGCAATTCACTCATGAAACAACACTTAAAATATGATATCTAATAGATTTCAAATCAGTAACTCTTTTCCTATTTCTAAATTGCAATCTCTTTTGTAAAATATATTTAAACTTTTATTATTAATTGAAGATTAGCCGCTAAGAAAAATTATGAAGATAGGCAACGCTGCAACATGGTCTAAGAAGTAAAAGACATGTCATTGATTAATGGGCAGATGTTGATGCAATTAATCCAGAGTTTATAGTTTTTTATGAGATTTAAGTTGTAATGTTATGCTAACAAATTGATTCCTCGAATAAATTGCAGCCATAAATTATCCATTATCACTTTTTAATTACTTTCATTTTGAGTTATGATATATATTAATACTTTTATACTTGTTCCAACAAACTCAATTAAAATTTGAGTTTTTTAAATTAAAGGTGTCAATTCAAATCTTACAACGAAAAATACGTGATCAATAAAAGGATTATCTCTTGTTATGTTACTTTGGTTATGCTTTTTTTTTTTTTTGGAACAATCAAGTATTAACAGTTGACTACGAACAAATAAATATAATAAACTATACCTAAATATTTAATTTAGTTGATACATAATTTCATCTTAAGCGATATTAAATGTTCACTTTTCTAGATTAAAAGAAAAAAAATGTAATGCATGATAATGTGACACCTAACAAGCTTTTTTTTAATATGTGATTCAATAATTGCTTATTTTTTGTGAATCATTTGAACCAAACCCTCTTCTATGATCCAAAATTCATGACAAAAATCCATTATACTCTTTACATATTAAAGGAGTCTCTTCCTATCCATAAATTAGGAATATGAATCTTATGACTTCAACAAGTACAATTATTAGCTTTGATGTGGTTTGTGCAAAAACAATTGGGGGTTGAAATTAATAATTGAATTTCTAAGTATCATGTTCATGCATGCATGAAAAACTAGAGAGTAGGCATATGCTTTCAAACAAAAATCCAATGTTGTAGCATGTGACAAAAGCTTAACTTCTTTTGCACTTGAAATTGCACATTCATGGGAAAAAAAAAGTTTCATTCTTCAGCACTTATCCTTAGCTATCCAAAAGGAACCTAAAGGAAATGATATCAAAGAAAATTCCATAACTCATCAAGGAATATATAAATTAGTTATGCCTTGCATATCTACTTTTTGTTTTTCAAATCATCAAAGGATTATGAAAATTAGATTATTAGTTTCCAATAAAGCAAAAAGATTAATTACATGTGTGATACCCCAATTATATTATATTAAACTTTCGATTTAGTACTTAAAATTAAAAAAAAAAACAAACAAACAAATTACGGTGTAATCAATATGAAGGTATATGTAAATTATTTATGTCTTGCATATCTTATTACTTTTTTTATTATTTTTTAATTTTTATTTACAAAAAAAAAAAAAAAACTGCAATCTAAGATTAATACAAAACCCTTTCAAGCTATAGGCTTACACGGTGTAAAACAGTTGTTTGGTAATTCAAAGTAATAAATTATTAGATCCCTCTAACAGAGACATCTTGGATTCTGGCCTATTTTCCTCACCTGTTGGCAGCAACTGTCACACACCTGAGCATTCAAATCTTGTGCTGCCATTGCGCAAGGAGCCAACTTCCAGGCTTCACTGTCGGGATGATCTCCCACATTCACCAGCTCCTTCTGCTACATTGAGCTCAGCAATGCCAAAAATAGCAAGAAACACCAAAAAGCAGATGCACTTCATTTCTTCAAAATTGCAATGCATAAACACTTCTCAACCTCAAAATTTATAGTAAAACCAATCAACTAAAAACGTTTTTAATGAGTAATACATATGAAACCCACAAATCGTAGTGGATGTAGCACTAGAGAAAAGTGTTTTGTTTATTGCAGCACCTACTACTCCAATGGCGGTTAGTGCCTGCTAAAGCCATTACTGTAATTCCACTACTTCTTTATCCTGAAGGGGCAAAAAGAACCTTTTCATGAGAAGCTGACAGCATAGCATCTAACAAGTTCGACTTCTATCTACATATCCATTACCCTCTCTCTCTAGAGTCAAAGGAGATCGCAATATGGGAATATTAGAATTTGAACACCAGACTTGCTGGATATTGTCTCTTACGAATGACTGCATGTACAAATTAAAACTCGGGGAATCAGATAATCAATGTTCCTTGTAAAGTCCTCCTGGCAACAATTCGTGTGAAGTTCATTGGCTTAATGAAAGAGTTCCTTACAAGATAAAGAGAATAAATGAATGGTATATGTCGACAGTTCTATTGCTTTTACTCCTAGTGTTAATCCAAAATTCTAAATTCTCTCTTTTCCTAATCGGCTAACCCTCATCTCTTTTTTTATTTTTTAAACATTTCTTCCACAGAGCTAGCTACCCAAATCTTCCTCCTCACCAATATATAGGATATCGGTCTGTTGGCATGTTGTCCTGCTTTATAAATTCCAAATACACCAGATAAACATCGCTTGTAGTTAACCACTATTTACTAGTAAAAAGCCAGTGAACTGCACCCGAATCATTTCATTATCTGAGAATTTAGTTCAATGATTGATGTATCAATCGCTGTTCAATAAGCAAAGTTTGAATGTCCCATCCCCGAATTTAAAAAAAAAAAAAAAACCAGTGAAATTCTTAGTGGAGCCACTTGCATGATTCACTTTCATGGCAGAACCAAGCTGGTCTACTCTATTTGCTGAATCACCAAACTGTTTCTCTTCTTGCAACTTGCCACTCATACGTTTAGGATATGCGATCTTTAGCTCACTTGAAATATGAACATTCCTAAAAGCCTCATTAGTTCAACAACATCATATAAAAGTCAATGAATATCAAGTTAGATTGTTCACCACCTCAGTGACCCTCTCCATTATTGATTCCTATTGGAAGCATTAAATTTGGATGAAAAATGGTTTTCGAGCAACAAGCAAATGTTTGCAAAGAAAACTAACGGCTTTTATTTAGTATTATTAAAGGAAACAACTATACTTCGATTATTCATTCAAAG